GGTTGTGTGGGAATCCAATGATCCCCATTTTATAAAGTCCTTATCACCCTGCCTTTATAAATGGTGATTCCTTGTTTACTACTCTAGCTACAAGGTGATCCCTCCCAGATCAGCCCCACCCTTCCAGATGATACCCCAATTAAAGGGTCATGTGACAGAAGGAAAACCCACGAAGAATTCTATGAGATTCTAAATGATTTCCTGAGCACTGAACTTGGAGTTAAGAAGACTTTAGTCCAAATATAGCCTCAGACACTTCCTACCTATGTGACTGGGCAAAGTGCTTTATTTCTGTCTGACTCTTTCCTAATTTGCAAAACATGGATAATAACAGCATCTAATTCCCAGGATTGTTGTGAGGACAAGTTAGATAACTGTAAAGCACTTCACAAACTTTAAAGCACTATATAACTATCTAAATAATAATAATTATTATTGTTAAGAAGAAATCAGAGAGAGCTAAATATCATTGTATTAGCTTTGTAGTTTATACAACCCGAGCAAGAGTCTTAATATTAGCTCACCTGTCCAAAATGTTTTAAGGTTTATGAAAAGCTTTTCTTGCAAAAATATTTGGTAGTTCATGATATTTCGCCCAGGGGCAGCTAAGTGGCTTGAGGGCTGGCCTTGGAATGAGGAAGACATCAGTACAAATCCTGTCTCCACACGGAACTAGCTGTGTCCTCCATCTTCCCTATTTTACAGATAAGGAAACTGTACCAGAGAGAGGTTCATTGTCTTACTCTCTGCTTCAAACCTTGCACACAGCAAAGCAGAGTCAAGCCTAGACCTTCTGCTTCCAATTGGAATGATCTTTTCATTTCTCATATATTCTTAATTGCCCCTTTCCCTGCAACCAAAGCCTTATCTGGGGCCAGGGAATAATCTGGAGTCATGAGGAGCATGCCATACAAACTTCTGTTTAACAATGTCCTACCTTTTTATTAAAAAAAAAGAAAAAGTAAAACCAGCACTTTGCACAAAAGCATCAATGCAAATAATTTCAGTTCATATTTTGGTCAAATAAAATTAAGAATTATTACGGTTTTAGGACAAAATATGAAGAAATACTAACTATACAATAAAATGCAACATACACAGCTATGTATTTATTAATAAAGTCCTTTCTAGTTTTTATATTTATAATTTAAAAAATAACCTAATAATGATTGAATGATTGTATAGGCTTGTTTTTTGCTTCAAGGTTTCTCAGAACATGGTGTCATTGGTGAAAATGCTGCTCATTATTCTTTTTTTTTTTTGAGCAATAATTGAGATTGACATCTTTATAATAGCTACAGAAGAAGTGCTTGGCACTTAGTAAGAATTTAATAAATGCTTGGTGACTGACTCTTGATGTTTGGTAGTATCAGTTGTGTCTGACGTTTTGTGACCACATTTTGGATTTTCTTGGCAAAGATACTAAAGTGGTTTGTTATTTCCTTCTCCAGCTCATTTTATAGATGAGGAAACTGAGGCAAATAGGGTTAAGTGACTTACCCAGTGTCACATAGTAAGTGTCTGAGGCCAGATTTGAACTTAGGAAGATGAATCTTCCAGACTCTGGGTCCAGCATTCTATCCACTGAGCCACCTAGTCGCCCTGACTGACTGTAGCTAAAACATATTAAGATTTTCCAGTTCAACACTTGTTTCAAGATATTGGCACAGGACAAATTTATGAGCTATTCTGGTTCAGATGGAGGAAACTAAAACCCAGGGACATTGAAGGATTTGCCTGAGGTCACACCACAGGGTAATAGAGGTGTGATTTAAACCTATGAATTCTAACTTCAAAGCCATATTCATTATGCCATATTGGCAGGGGCTTAAATATTGTGATTCACTGCATGTGTGACCTTGGACAAGTCATTTCCTTTTCTCTGGGCCACAGTTTCCTCATCTCTAAAAGCAAGGAGTTATATTAAATGATTACTGACATCTCTAAATTCTATGTGCGCATGGTTTGGGGGATATTTTGTATTCGTGGCCTGCACATGCAATATGGGACTTCAGTAATCAAGCAGCTAATAAGAAAGGATTTGTTGATTTCCTTACTTTCCCTGTGCTGTGTTGGGAAGTGGTAGTGGTGGTGGGGGAGAACTGGCCTTATGAGAGAATAGGGCAGATGATAGAAGCTCCTCATGCCCCAAATACTCCACCTTTCCTGGACTGACACCCTAAATTCTGCACTTAGAGTGTTATTCTTTGGGGTCTCAAAAGCTTTTCTGCATTTTAGAATCTTCTATCAAAATGTTAACTCTCACAAACAATTGTTGTTCAGTCCTATCAGACTCTTTGTGACCCCATTTGGGGTTTTCTTAGTAAAGATACTGGAGTGGTTTGCCATTTCCTTCTCCAGCTCATTTTATAGATGAGGAAACTGAGGCAAACAGCATTAGATGACTTGCTCAGGGTCACACATATAGTAAATATTTGAGATCAAATTAGAGCTCAGGTGTTCGTGACTCCAGGCCCAGTACTCAATCCACTGCACCACCTAGCTGCCCTACCAAACAATGCACGGAGCAAATAACCTCTTCCAAGAGGAGTGAGCTTTTTCAGCTCAGTCAATACAGAGTCCCAGATCTCACATGGGAGGACATTTCTTGGAGTTTCTAATTAGGCAAGCTGTAGATAGGAATATGATTAAGGTGCCATTTCCTCCATATGTTGGCTTCTTCCCAAAAGTCTTTATCTCACTCCAAATGCCTCTCCCTGAATAGAGTCTAGAACCATGTACTTTCTCTCTCAAATCTGGAAGTCAGAAGCAAAACCCTCCTTTCCCAAGCCCTCACCAACTCTTCCCCTCATGCAGGTGCAGAGCTTCAAGTGTTCATTCTCTCTACCAATGAGGAGAGTCTTACTCAAATGCCCAGTCTTGACCACTGGGTTATATTTGTAACAATGATAACTTTGAGAGTTTTAATGGTTTAGAAAACAGTGTGCACATCTACATGATTATTAATAGGACTTCTATATAGTGTATTATATACATTATGTAGTGGTCAGAAAGCTAACCAGTGAGTCAGGATTTTTGAGCTCAGGATTTCCTGACTCCAAGTCCAATGCTCTATCTGTTCTTAAGATCACATGGAAGACAAGACCCAGCCAGAGGGAATAAGTCAGAATGGAAAGAGAAACCAAGAAAAGTAGAGTCTATTTCATTATAGCTAGTTTATGGAATGAAGATTGATTCTTAAGGCTATAGCGAACTTAGCTTCCCTTTAGCTAGGAAGGCCTGGGTTCAAATATCTCCTCTGACATATAGCAGTTATATGGTAAATGACTTAATCCTCAGCAATCTTGGCAACTCTGTAAGTCTAGGAGTTGGAGAGAAAGTCCCCATCAGCATTGGTAGAGGGGATTACCATGCCGTGGGGTACTCTATGCCACTAGATCCTCAAGTCTGGTCCCTAACCTTACTTAACTGTATTTATACACATTACCTCATTTGATTCTCCTAATTAGTACACGAGGTAGTGATGTTGGTATTATTATCTCCATTTACAGCTGAGAAAAGTAAGGCTTAGGGAAATGAAATTATTTTTCTAAAGTCACACAACTAGTAAGAACAGTGCTTCAACTCCAACCCAGCTCTCCTAGATCGAGATCCACTGTGTTTTCTGCAACACATTCTGGCTTCAAGGGAGTCTGATATCTGAGTGAATACATGAAGAATGTGTGCTTTTATCAGCCAAAGAACTCCCAGGACAGAAACTTCCTTCACCAAAGCAGATAGCCACAGTTTATGACTTAATAGAAAAGTCTTAGGAAATTTCTTGAGACTGGTTGAGATTGAGTGGCGTGCCCATGGTCACACAGATATATATCAGAGGAGAGACTTCAACCCAGATTTTCTTGACTCCAAAGCTAGAGCTCTCTTTGTGAATCTACACTGTTACTCCTATGCCCTGCTCATAATATTGTTAGCAGTAACACTGACAACCTAGGACAGGACTGTGGTTTGTAACCACCATGATTGAGGCCAAAGCTATCTGACCCCCTTCTCCATTTAGATAGTGCCCTTGGGGCACATGGCTCTACTAGCTACCTGGCATTCCATTTCGGGAGGGAGGAGGGGGAAGGCTGGGAAAGATAATCGTGTTTCTAGAAAATCTGCTTTAGAATTGAGGAGTAAAATCTGGGAGAATTTGGCTAAGGGAGAAATTAGGGCCCTTATGATAAAATGAACTAATATTTTTAAAATGCTTAGCACAATGCCTGGAAAATATTAAGTACTTAATAAGTACTTGTTTCCTCCCTCTCTCCCCTCTCCTTCCCTTCCTTCTTTCCTTCCTTCCTTCCTTCCTTCCTTCCTTCCTTCCTTCCTTCCTTCCTTCCTTCCTTCCTTCCTTCCTTCCTTCCTTCCTGGTTGAGGTTAACTTCAGGGAAGAAGAGAAAAGTCATTTGGATTATACCTCTATCCCCTTCCCTCACCAATCCATTTTAGGCTTTCCATACACAGCACCAAGGGAAGTGAAGGAATGTTGATTAAACTAGTTAATTTGGGTGATTCAGACTCCTATCTACACCAGTCTTCTAATTCAGTTCAATTCAACAGATGGCTATTGAGCACCTACCGCATGCAAAACACGGGCCCTGTGGAGATGTGTGTGGGGAGAGATATGGAGGTACAAGGGAGAAAAAAGGATCTTTCTGCTGCTGCCCACTCATAAGTCAGAGCTATAGTCCTAGGAAAGGCCCATAAACCTAGGCCTGACTAACTTGATTTGGCATATTGCAGCCCTTGTCACAGAGGCCGGGCTGAGGGGTAATAAATACATATCTGCTGTTTATAGTAATAATTTGGGTCTGGGCCTCCTAGAAGCTGTTTTCTAGGCTTTCTATGTGCTGCTGGCCATAGCGGAGTTGCTGAGGGGAGGGTCTCAGATGCTGTCAGTCGTCAGAGCAGAGCGTAATTGTTTTCCTCCTCAGTTATGCAGAAGCAGCAGGCCTTTAGCTAATTAATAAATCATCAACGCATTTGTGGTGTGAAAAATGAAATATTTATGCTTGCCAGAGTAATATTTCTGTCTTGCAGCCCCATGCTCTGTTGATGCCTGATGGAGGATGAAGTAAATACCAGCTGGTGAAGAATGAATGGAATATAATTACTTTCTTCAAACTTAACTGAATATTAATAACAGAAAGCACCAAAACTGGCAAAAGCTCTCCTTCTGCCCCTCAGCCAGTGAACATCAATATGATCTGATGGCAAACCACCTTGGTAGCCTGAGAAAGGAGTATGGTGCATTTGTCATTGGGTCGAACTCTCCGATGACTGGACCTTGACCCAGAGCCCTACATAAGCACAAGGAAAGAGGTCAGAGAAAACAACAGGCATGTAGATACTCAGTTCCAAAGGAGAGCAGGATATATCAGGAAAGGGTGATGGCTTTGTTTGCCATCAGAGCTAGGGCAATGGAACTCTCACCAGAGCATTTCATCCTTATGTCCACAGGTCATGCCAAGGGCTGTCCTCACAATGGCACGATCCTTCCTGAGACATTTCTGAGGCCAGAATCCAATCTCTCTTCTTCTCAATCCATCCTTTACACAGCTGCTAAAAAAATAAATAAAAGAACTTTCCTAAGACATAGATCTGACCATATTATTCCCTTGCTCAAAAGACTTCAGAGACTTTCTCTTGCCTCTAGGACAAAATGCAAACTACTTAGGCTGGTAATTAAGGACCTGCACAATCTGTTTCCAACTCTTATTTCACATTACTTCCCTTTAGGAATGCTCCCTAAATTCAATATTAAATTTCTTACCACTGTGCCTATGCCCACACTGCTATATATGCTTGTAATAACTTCTCTTCTCCTCTTAGAATTCTTATCTTCCTTTGAGGCTTAATTCATGTTGCCACCTCCTTAAAGCTGTCCTTTTTCCTCTCTGCTGAAATTAATCCTCCTCTGAAAGCAAGTTGGATCCTTCTTTGTCCCCTCATGTTCAGTCTTGTACTGTTATTATCCATTTGTATTGATGATCTGGTCTCACTCTGCCAGTGGAAGGCAAGCTCCATGTTCCTTTAGATTTACAGGGGGAAGGCTTGGTAGGTAGCTGATGTTTTTCTCTAATGCTATTGGCTTGACCCCCAAATTCGTTGTTCTCCCACCTGATAACCAATGAAATCTCTATGTGGAGGAAGCCTTTTTCCAATTAGACATTGCATCAGTACAGTATGTTTAGATTGCTCTTCTTCCCCACCCTCTCCCCATTACATGTGTTAATATTGTATCCCCCTAGTGAAATGTAAAGAGAGACAGGATTATTTTCCACCTTGAATCCCTAGCACCTAGCTTAGTGCCTAGCATTTAGTAGATGCTTTAATAACTGTTTGTTGACTCTCTTCTCCAAACAAGATTGAGTTTACCCGCTTGGCTCTGTTAGTTTCCCACCCCCAGGTCTCACATACCTGCCAATTTCTACCTAATTCCCACCTGAGTTTTACTATTCTCAACACTCTTTTTATAGGAGCTGACAACAATCTCTCTGCTCTAACAAAGCAGCCCTCTTATCTCACTTCCTAATCCTGATTTGTATTCTAGTTACTTCTACCCAAGTCTTAGTCTTCCCCTAGATAATAAACTCTAAGAGGACAGGGGTTATATTTTGTTTTTCCTCACCTCTTTCCCTCAAGTGTTTTGAAAATGGTAGATACTTATTGTTGCATCAAATTGTATTGGAGGACCAATTTAGACACTTGACTGTGTCACCCAGTTTAATGGAATCAATTGTCATTTCTTCACTTTCTTCAGTATTGTGTATATTAAACCCAAAATGGGAGAGGCAGTGGGGGCACAATTTAGTCGGCTTTTTTCTTCTGCTATAAACTTAATTTCTATAAGCCCAGGGGAGCTTTGAGATGTCTTCTCAGATTTTCCTGGTTCTTAAGTTATGTCATGGTTCTAAAGCAGGTATCTTGGAAGTAACATTATCTTTTCCGGAGACTGACTTGTAATTTTCTATTTTAAAGAATGTAAGCCCTTCATATATGTAGGGATTGGTTTATGCTTTGTACTTTGATCTCCACTACCTAGCATAATGCCTGGAATTTAGTAGGCACCAATACTTGTCAATAGATTAATAGAAAAAAGAAGAATCTGGTCACTCAATAGAGACTGAGAAGGTTTTAGGGCCCCTCTTCTACTGTACTTCTGACCTGCTCAATTCAATCAGTGTGACTAACATTGATTAAGGTGACCTAATAGAGTGCTAGATCTGGAGTTAAAATAATCTGAGTTCATATCTGATCTCAGACACCAGTTGGATGACTGTGGGCAAGTAATTTAATCTCTATCTGCTTTAGTTTCCTCATCCTTAAAATGGGCATAATAACACCTGCTTCCCAAGGTTGTTCTGAAGATAAAATGAAATACATAAAATGAGGTGAAGTCCTTTGCAATCATTACAGAGTTATACAAATGTTTTTTTTTTTTTATTACTACTGCTGCTGCTACTACTGCTATTACTACTACCACTGCTGCTGGTGCTGCTGCTGTTACTACTACTACTACAACCACTGCTATTACTACCTCTATTACTACTATGCTACTACAGCTGCTGCTGCTACTGCTGTTACAAGCAGAGGAATTATTGTATTGGCTATTGAAGATGCAAAGAATAAAATAAGAGAATAACTGTCCCTAAGAATTTAATATTCTACTGGAGGGGGGGCAGGATATAGCATAATCATACAGAAGTATAATATGAGGTGGGGGATAAAAGGGACAAAGGAGTGATCAAGTGGATGCTAGAAGGAAAAGCATACTGGGCATTGAGAAGACTGGCTTGTATAACAGCCCAAAGACAGGAGATGCTATATTTTGGATGGGAGTGGCAAGGCTTTCCATTTCAATAGAGAGAACAGTGTCTGAAGGAAGATGATATGAAGTGAAGATGGAAATAGAGACTAGAGAAAGAATGTGGCAGGCCTTAAAGACCATGGTAAGGAGTTTCTATTTTCTGCTGGAGGCAATTGGAAGCCACGGCATTTTTTTCTTTTCAGAATTTCAGTCTCAAATTTGGAAGGAAATTCAGGGGCCATTAGTTCAATCTGTACCTAAACATGACTATCCTTTGCAACAAATCTACAAAAGTGGCCATCTAACCTGAAGACTTTGAGTCAGGAGGAATCAAGCTAGCCCTTTTCACTTTTGGTAACTCTGCTTATTAGGATTTCCCCCCCCCCCCCATTTCATTACCATCTGAATCTTTCATCTTATTGTTCTTAGTTCAGCAGTTGGGGGACAAACACAAAATGTCTAATTCTTTTTTTTTTGTAACATTTAACCGTTCAAATATTTGAAGATAACTACCAGATTCTCCTTAGAGTCTTGTGTCCTTCAACCTGAATGTTCTCGGTCACTTCAACTCTAGCTTCCTCTCATTTACCAATGTCCTTCCTAAAAGGGGATGCTCAAAGAGAAAACAGTACTCCATATGTGGTCTAAGCCAGGTGGAGCACAGTGGACAATATCACTTCTCTTTCTCTGAAAATTCTCGGTCTCTCAATTTAATTTGTTTGCATTCAGTTTTTTGAGTTATTGAGTTATTTAAGTTGTTGAGTTATTTGAATTATTTTGAGTTGAGTTATTTGAGTTATTGTGTTATCACATTGTTGACAGTCTGACCTTGTATTTGTTACAACACCCACATATTTGGCATTAAAATAGATTTTAGCCATGACTCCACATTTTTGTGCTTGTGAAGTTGATTTTCTGAACCAGTGTATGACTTTGTATTTATCCCTTTTGAAATTTATCTTAAAAGATTCAGCCAGTTTTTTTTTTTCTTGAGATCTTTTGGGAGCCTGGCTGCTATCCATTCTAATTCCTGTCATCTTCCAACCCAATAAGCATGTCTTTTGTGACTTTATCCAAGTCATTGACAAAATTGTTAAATAGCACAAAGCCCAGCCCAGATGCCCAATGCGTGTTCTAAAGACATCCGTCCAATATGACATTGAATCATCAATATCCGGGCTGTGGGCTATCCATACAAGTTTCACATAGATGAAAATAGACAACTATTTAGTCCGTAACTCTCCACCTTTTCCACAACTACAGCATGATAGACTTTATTAAAAAATTGTACATCCCTGCTAAAACATACTTACAGCATTCCCCTGATCTAATGCTTCCTTTACCCTGTCAAAAATGGAAACAAGGTTAGTCTGGCATGACATGTTCTTAATGAAGCTGTGATGATATTTGCCATTACTGCTTTATTTTTTTGATATTCACTTTAACAGTTTTAAAAAATACAATCTAAAATGTTTCTAAGAATTTAAGCAAGCTTACTGGTGTAGGTTTTGCAGCTTCTCCTCTCATTTTTTTAAACAAAATTAGGATGTTTGTCCTTCAGTTTTCAGACATCTCTTCTTTTAAAAATTCGATTTGATTCTATTTTTGGTTTTGAATTTTCTCTGTCTTCCCTCCTCACCTCTAACTATTGAGAAAGTAAGAAAAACACAATACATTACAAATATGTATAGTCAAGCAAAACAAGTAATCTTATTAGTCATGAAGCACCTCCCCCACACACAAATGCTTTAATCTATACTCTGAATCAATCACCTTTTAACAGTAGCCTCTTTCATCATGAATCTTTTGGAATTGTGGTTGGTGATTTTTTAAACAGAGTTGTAAGTTTTTCAAAATTGTTTATCTTGACAATGTTGTTGTTACTGCAAAAAAATTGTTCTCCTGGTTCTCACTTCATTCTACTCAGTTTATATGAGTCTTCTTGGGTATCTCTGAATCCATTACATTCATCATTTCTTCCAGGTCGATGGTATTCCATTCCCTTCATGTACCATGACTTGTTAAGCACTTTACGATTGATGGGCACCAAGAGAGTTGCTATAAATATTTTTGTACATATGAGTCCATTTCTTCTTTCTTTGATCTCTTTGAGATATATTATATATATATATATATATATATATATATATATACACACACACACATACACACATATGTGTATATGTATATATACAAATATATATACATACATATATGTATATTTACACACACACACAGAACTAGCAGTTATCTGAATAAATGCGGTCCACTATTACTTGCTATAACGTGCCTCTATGTCATGCTTGTGATCTGCTTCCTGAACTCTTTACTCTTCATGTATTTCCTCCTGTTGAGATGGTCTGTAGCATTCTCTGATGACAACATACCTACTGTTTCTGCCTTCATTGATCTTTACCCAAATGCTCTCTGCCATAATTCCACACACTGGTTACAGGATTTCCTTAAATGATTGAATCTTCGTAATAAACAATGAGAGCTTCCCCCATTTTTACCTTATCCTGCTTTTTTCCAGTATGCCATATAAAGCTGTATGCCATTCATGGGTCTCTTCCCAAGCCTCATTGGTATATATGACATAAAATTTATCTTGAGTTAAGCGAGCTGGTTCATTTTGCTTGTTGTCCATATTTTTACATTGTCCATATATACATTTGACTCTGTGGATGTTATTGTGATAGAATATACTATAATATTCTATGTTTGACTTCTATAAACAGTCCTAACTTTTGTAATTATTGAACACTTTTTCCTTTCCCTTCCCCAGAGCCCCACCCCTAAGAATGATAGAAATAAAGGCTTCCAAGACCAGTGTGTGTAGAAAGTGTACCTTTCAGGAACGTGATTAATTCTCCTTCCTGTCCACTGAAAAAAAAAAGCACCTTTTGACAGTGAAGAAAATTAAACCGAGGACTTCTGTCTGAATTTTAAATATTTGGTTTATTTATTCACAGATCCACTCCCTCTGTGTACTTCTGTAATTCCCTCAGTCTTCTTTTTTTCCTTTCCCAATATTACTTTGGGAAACCTCATTTTCTCTCTGGGTTTCAATAACTATGGTCTAGCGGAAATGGAATCTTGGTAGGATTCTGAAAACCTGGGTTCAGGTCCTGGGTCCTGTACATATTAACCATAAGACATTAAATAAGTCACCATTTCTCTGGACTTTAGTTTCTTCGTCTATAAAACAAGGATATCATGCCTTTAATTTTATTAGGGCAAGGGCCTAGACAATATTCAAAATCAATAGTTCATATTGAGCATCTATTATCTATCTGTAAGGCACAGTGCTGGATGTTTGAAATACAAAGATTAAAAACTAGCACAACCTACCTTCACACAGTTTACATTCCACTTAGGGGACATGATGTTTAAATAGATAAAGCATAGTAAAGTCTGGGTGTGATGGTAGCAAATGAGAGATTGAGATACTATTTTTGAGGAAAGTTTGAGCAGTGTGGGGATACATTTGACTGGAGATATCATGAAGGTTTTATGAAGGAAGAGGCAGCCTTTGTCTTCCCCATTGGCCTTCCATCTCCATTCTATACCACAGTTCCTATTCTGCTCATATGGCCCTCTTCTCTAGTTCCCTCTGTTTCTCATCCTTGTGTACCTCCTTCACAGATCACTTTTATGTCTTCTTCCCTCTGATACCTCACTTCCTCTTCATCCAATCTTCAAACATCTTCTCTGGTGGATAATGATTGGGATATCTCCTAGAGAGATACTATTGTCCATGAAATGCAGGAGGAAGTGACAAGACTGGAATGTAGGGACCACTTTCTAGTTTTGGCTCACTAACTGGATCTGTAAGTCTTCGAGTAAATGCCTTTCCCCATATGATCCCTGGTCTCCTTCCTCATAACATGGGGGGAGGTATTGAAGTACGTGAACTCCAAGGTCCCTTTCATTTTTACATATTACATCACAGCTATGGGAGGCAGGTGGGGCTCATTTTTGCCTCCATATTCTCTGCTGATCACCACCTGTATTCTCTCCCTTTTAGCCACAGCATCTTCCCTCACTATTCCACCCACTGCCTGATTCCAACTGTTGTCATTCATGAACTCACTTAGAGCTGACTTCTTCCCACAGACCTTTCTCCTGTGCACAGAAGGCTGGGTAAACTAACTAAATACTGCATATGAAAATTCATCAGCTAACCAACATGCTGAAATTAGATTACCATCTGGCTTTCCAGTCCACTCAGCATGTGCAGTAATGGGGCTGGTTGGCCTCTAGAGACCCCTATTGCAAGGCAAATTTAGAGTAGCCAACCTTTGGGGTAGGGATGAGTCCTGCCCTCCTGATCTCTATGACAAGTAGCATACTGATAGCTCTCCCCCCAAAATCAACAAAAATAATTATTATTTCCAACAAGTGGAAGCAAACAGCTAGGAGGCAAAATTGTGTGCTGGACATGAAGTCAGGAAGACTGCAGTTCAAATCCTGATTCATACACTTCCTAGCTGTTCCAACCTAGGAAAGTCACTTAGCCATTGTTTGTCTCAGTTTTCTCTTCTGTAAAATAGGGATAATAACAGCACCTAACTCCTAGGGCTGTTGTGAGGATCAAATAAAATAATATTTGTAAAGCGCTTTGGAACCTTAACGTATTATACAAGATTGAGCAGAAGCTTTAGAGAAAACCTTTGTCTTGACCTATACTTAGAGCACAAATCAAAACCTCACCTTCACTGGAAGCGTAGTACAGTTGTAATTGTACCAGGGACATCTGAGTTCAAAGCTCAGCTGTGATGTTTGTATGACTATGACTCGGTGACTTTTTCATTTGAATGCTCCATACCTGGCACCTTGGGGGAGGGGTGGAGGAGAATATACCTGTAATTTCATTGGCGTCAGGAATATCTATGAGGAAAATCTTTTTGCAGATGAAGATAAAAAACCTTAGACACATGCCTTAGACAGATGCACTAAGAGTCAAAATGACTTCTCCAGGGTCACAGAATCAGAATCTGTCAGCAACCAGAGGCCCCATTACCCAAATTCATTTCCTCTCACTGGTCTTTCATACTACCCGAAATTCAGCCATTAAAGAGTATAAACTTACATATCTCTATACATTCTAAATGCTAGTGATATAAATGAAAAAGACAATCTTTACCTTCAGGGAGCTTACAATCTAAGGGGAGAAAACACACAAAAGGAAGCCGAAAAGAGACAGAAAGAGAATGCCAGGGAAGGTACAACCTGCAAGGAAATGGTACATAAGTCAGAAAAGTTCCAACATAATGCAGCCAGGTGAGAATTTAAGAGATCTGAGCCAAGCTCCCCTTCCCCCCAGTTTGTTGCTAGGCCACTTTTTCCAATCTTCTATCATACTGTTCTCTTCTATGAACTCTGTGCTTCAGCCAAATTAGATGATTTGCTGTTATGGTGAAATTTAGAATAAAAGGATTGGGGTTTAAATCTGGGCTCTGACACTTCCTGGCTCCATGTGATATTGAGTATGTCAGTTAGCTATTCTGGGACTCAGTTTCCTCATCTACAAAGTGAAGGGGTGGGCTAATAGTTACTCAAGGTGACTAGGCTTTAACTCAATACTCCTACAACACCATGTACATGCATGGAGATTTTCTGCAACTTTGTGACTTTACTCATGTCATTGTCTGTCTTTCATGTCCTTCCTACTTGTTCTGGCTATTGAAAGATGGCTCCCACCACCTTTAAAATCCAGCTAAAATACTTTCTCCTGCAACAGTGATGTCAAACTCGAAGAGAACTGGATCTCTGCAAGCTGAGTATTAACGTAGAAAACCACAAATTAACATTATTTCTGTTGTATTGTGTTTGTTTGTATTTTGTTAAACATTTCTCCATTACATTTTAATATGGTTCAGACTGCACTCAAGGAATTTTGCCGCCATGGTGGGTGGTGAGTTTGACACTTCTGTTCTACACACAGCCAGTTTTAATATTGCTTCTTCTCCCTTGGATTTCACATCTCCACTTGCTTGCATCTTAATTGTGTGCTTGTTTTTCGTGAGGGTGAGATACGTCAGAGGGCTGGGGGATACTAGGAAAAGTTTCCAGCTAGACTCTGTTCCTCTCAATGGCTCAAGACAATTTACATGACGTGGATCTAGCTTCCAGGGATGTGATGGGAACCTAAGAATTATTTACCCAACCCAGTCTGACAGACTCCTCAGTGAGGTAGGTGAGGGAGAGAATGGGGTGATAGGTTTAAGGAAATATTTTTAATAGGTACCTCAGGGGGTCTTTTGTGTACTAGGTCTGTGTGGTCATGGTCCCAATGAACCAAAGAGCTGAAGTATGTTGGTTATTCTCAGGCATATTGACCAGGCAAAGCCACAAAATAACAATGACTCTCCCTTTGAAGAAAAAGAATGACTAGATACAAACATGAACTATAGAAGATGAAAGCAGCAGCAGCATTTAAGAGAAGCCTGATAGCAGATATAACATTAGTAAGCTACCAACAGGCACACACATGCATACATACAGATACATATGTATACCCATGTATACATATGTATGTGTATGTGTAATCTATTAAGCTTGATCTTGCAATATTAAAGAATATAAAAGGAAGCTAATTCAGGAAGCTTGCAAACTAAAAATAATTGCCAATAAAATTGGTAAATAGTATCAAGGTCTTGCAGTCCTGCTTTCCTATTGCTCTGAGGACTCAGAATTCTATGGGAATGTCTCATATTGTACATTTTTCTTTTGGGAAGGAGGCATTTAAAATACTATTTAAAAATATACTATAATTCCAGTGGAAAAGATGGAGAACAGAGATCAGATGATAATGGAATTTGATGGGTTCTGAACTGTTTGGATTCCTGGACTCAAAGAGTAGTTATGGTTCAGTGAGATGGGTGGTTATCAGTAGAATGTTTAGGGATCTGTTTGATTCAGATAAAGGCATAGATAGTGTACTTATCAAATTTGTGAATACTTGGAGGGATAGTCAATATATTGGATCACAATCAGTATCCAAAGGTATCAGTGCAAGCTAGAGAATTACACTGGATCTGGTAAGATAAAATTTAATAGGGATAAAAGCAAAGGTTTATGTAAGAAACGTTTATCTTTCAGACAGCAGTTTGTCTACTGAAGAGCTGAGGTTTTAAGTGGTCTTGAAGGTTCAGGATGAATCTTGGGCTTTGTGGTAAGAAGAAGATGATGATGATCTATTTAGCATCTAGTATGTGCCAAGCACTATGCTAACGATTTTATAAATATTATCTCATTCGATGCTTATAACAATCCTAGGAAGTTGGTGCTATTATTATCCCCATTTTGCAGTTGAGGAAACAGGCAAATAGAAGTTAAGTAACTTGCCCAGGGTGACACAGCTGGCAAGTGTCTGAGGCCAGATTTTTCAGTTCCAGTCTTCCTAACTCCAGGCTTCATGCTCCATATACTGTGCCACCTGGCAGCCTCTTAAGAGAAGGATAGTTTCTAGGAATACGGGAATGATGGTCCCGCTGTACTCTGCCCTCATGCCATCACATCTGGACTGCTCTGGTCAGTTCTGGGCACCACAGTTTAAGGATGCTATTCACAAATTGGAAAGCACCCAGAGGAAGGCTCCCAGGATGGTGAAGGGCCTTCAGTCCATGTTCAACAAATGCTGATTGTCATCAGGAGGTATGATAGCCATCTTTAAGTATATGCAAGGCTGTCATACAGAAGAAGGGTTAGCCTTATCACAGATTTTCCTAGATAATAAAATATAGAACAATGGGAGAAAGTTGCACACACCAATAGAGGATCGATGTCAAGAAAATATTGGTGACAATTGAGAGCTGATCCTTGGTGGAATGGCTGACTTGAGTGATAGCAAGCTTATCCATCTTCGAGGTCTGCACATAGGGATAGCATGACCACTTGTCAAGCATGTTGGAATGGAGATGCCTTTGGGGAATGGGTTAGTTCAGATAGCCACTGACCTCCCTTCCATATCTACATTCTGTACTTCTGGGCCATAAATCTAGCTTTAGGTCACCCATGTTAGCTCCTTGCTTCCTGGAGGATAGATAATTTAAATGGCAGATATCATAGCTGGTTAATACATTTCAGACTCAGAGTGTAACTGAACGACAGCTACAAATGAATTGTTTGCTTAAATAACTCGAGTGCATTATGTTGGTAAGGCTGCCATGCCCTGTTGTGGGCGGCACTAAGTACCCAGCACAGCGTGGCATTCCTCTTGTCTCCCCTTGTCTCAGAGGACAAATTACAGAGACTTCACTAAGCCTCTTAATGAGAAGACAGTACAGCTTGTTAACAGTAATCTGGCAAATAAAGGGATAAACAGCACTGGCTCTCTGTGAGAAGAAGAACATGACTGTGTTTCTTTCCTTTGGACTGGCAGGTTTTATTGGAGATTCAGTACCACCCTGAGAAGTGGGCCATTGGGACTCTAGTTTAAGATTCCTAATTTCTACAATAAACCTGTCAAGTGGTCATTGGACCTTTACTAGAAGACCTCTGGTGATGGAGAACTCACTACCTTTCAAAGTAATCCATTCCACTTTGGGACAAGTGAAGTTATGAGGAAGGTTCCTTTATACCAAGATGAAATCTACATCTTGCAGCTTCCATTTTACTTGGTTTCATGCAGACACAAACACTAGTGATCTCCAGTTTAACATGTATATTTTTTGCCTTTCTTTGTGTACACACACACACACACACACACACACACACACACACACACACACCCCTACCTGTTTCTCTTTGTGGCCCAGCCAAGGATTCTTCTTTTCTTCTTCCTAACATATTTAATGCAAAGTCTAAGTCATGGACCCTGTGAGCTCTAGGTAAAAGTCTACCTGGTTGCCATAGCTACTTTTGACATATCATGTTCCCATGGTAATGTCACCAGGAAGTAAAGGGTTAACTATATTATTTCATCAATATTGTGAATCCCTACTGAGGAACCTCTTCTACCATTGACAATCTTAATTGTTTTAGTGAGGCAGTACTTGAAGCCAGGTTTTCCTGATTCTGAGAAAGAAAATTTTACTTGATGAAAAAAATCATCTTTCTAGCAAATAGCCTATGTTGCCCTCCCCAACGTGGGCATATACAAACACACTCAATATGTTTATCTACTTATATGAAGACATTCTGTCTATTAAGGGAGACTGTCAACTACTCCTTAACTCAGTCTTACTGTGTTGGCTGGAACAAAAAGGCAAAGTGATTTGCCCAGGATTGCAGAAGTGAGATGTGTTAGGGACAGGACTTGAGTTAACTATTTAGAAAAAGAAAATTTTAAATGGCTTTCTTTGCCTTAACAAGTACACTTATTGCAAGCAGTGGTTGTTTCCTTATTGCACCTGCTTCCCCAGACCAGGCCTAGAGCAATGCCTGGCACATAGTAGGTACTTAATAAGTACTTGCTAGTTAATTGATGGATGAGCCTTTCTTGGCCTCCCGTGTTTCTCTCTCTTCAGGCCTTAGCTGTTTCTTCCTATTCTTCTGGTTCTTCGTATTCTTTGTCTTCTTCTGGTTCTTTTTTTCTTAATTTTTGTGTTCTTGTTCTTCTATTTCTTGTTGTTCTTTTTGTTGCTCTTCTTGTTCTTCTTTCCCTCCCAAGCAATGTCTTTCCCTATGTTCATATTTCTCTCCGGCAGCCTTTCCCCTTACATAGACAGGTGCTGCTGCATTTGGAGTTAGAAGAACTGAAGTTCTCCCAGCCTGTCTACTTCTTAGCTGTGTGGTCTCCCTCAGTATTCTTAACTTCAAAATGTTTCCACCGCAGATTGGCACGGGTGATCTCTAAGGTACCTCCCAGCTCTCACTTTCTGTAAGTATCAAATGACTGATGGTAGCCCGAAGTTATACGAAATAAAAATTAAACCAGGCCTGATGCATTTGTAGCGTCACCTACCCTCAGGGGCTAGAACATGCACTTCTGATGATAGTACTCGCTCTTCCACTTGTGTTTAACACCTTTGGGAGAAGAGTAGTTCCCACATCCCCAGTCTCCCACCTTCCAATTGGTCAAAATTACTTCTAGCATTTGGAGAGCGCAAGCACAGCTTGAGACAAAAGCAGCCCAGAACCAGGAGGAGGCCATTGCTCTACCCACCTCTGCCATCTAACTAGCACGCCACCCCCTCCATACACATACACACACCAGAAAGAGGTGGGTAGAGATTACATATAAATATTTATACTTCTAAATCGTGTTCTGCCTTGGAAATGATGTC